TTAGGTGTTTAACTCTTTGATCGCAGCATTAATTCACCAAAATGTTTTTCTCTTGCTTTTAAAGGCCAAACCTGCCCATGTGATTGAAAAGCGCTCAAGCTCAAGCTCAAGCTCAAGTGAAGAGGTCAGTATTTAGTTTCTATACAATCATACAAAGGCAAGAACTTTATTCACTTGAACAGAGTGATAAATACAAATTCATATTAGAATAAAATGTTTAAATAGCTAAATTTTCTTCTTTTTCATTTTTCCCCCACAGCATCGCAGAACTTCCATCTCCACCTCCACCAACAACAACTTATCTATCACTCAGCTTACTGAGCTGCTCAGACTTGTGCATGCTTACAGAGGTCTGGGTGTAGGTGGTGCAGGTGCTGCAGGTGCTGCAGGTGCAGGTGGTGCATTTGGAGCTTTAGGTGGTGCACTCGGTGCCGGAGCTGGAGGTATTGCAGGTGCTCTAGGTGCTATAGGTGGTGCACTTGGTGCTGGAGCTGCAGGTGCTGCAGCTGCTTTAGGACGTTGATGTCTTCAAACTTAATGGTTGAATACAAATGAAAACAATAAAGAACATTTCAAATGTAATTCCTTTGGTCATGATCTTGATTTTCTGATTTTCATTGTTGCTTCTGCTTAGTTTTTAGATTATAGTGTTCTACATCATTTCTGCTTACTGGGACCTAAGTAGTAGTTTTGTTTCCTCTCATGTACCTCATGTTTTTGAATGACTAAAATTCTTCTTGAATCTTAAAACAATGACATCTTAATTCTGCGCGATCACTCCGAATAAAAAACACTATATATCATAAATATGATTTTATAGAGGTTACCCATCAATGACATGTTATCTTTCCACAGTTAAAAACACGTTTTGTGAGTTTCTGCTGAGCTTGGCTGTGCATCATGATTCATATGTCAAACATGTTGGGCCTCTTGCATTATTGAGGGCATGTCAGGGAAAGACACATCATAAAAGGTATTTCTAAGAACTGCTCGTCAGAGCTGTGCGGATCATATTTTCCTCTGATTCCTTTCTTCAGTCCCTGAGGGCACGGCTTTCATGTTTTATGTACAGTCTTTAGAGTCGCAGTGTAGTTGTTAGATACCGTGGTTTGGTTGCAGTTTTGTTCCAACAGAAAATCAAAAGTTGTTATAAATGTTTTCTATGGGACCTTTTGGTTGTCGTACTTTATCTTGCACACAAATCTTCTTTGGTATGATTTTGACATAAATAATGGAAAGAAAGGGAAAGAACCACTCAGCACATTTAAGATGTAAACCAAAGTTTGTGTCCTCAGTCCTGTTGGTGGTCAGGTTCAAGGAACAAGAATGGCTTGGGTAAAGGAATAACTTTGACATTTTACTTTCTTTCTGAGAGATAATTGAGAAGATTGGAGAACAGATAACCTCGTCTAGTTCCTGCGAAGTGCAATCATATGTCAGTTTACAACACATTGACACTGGCGTCAGCCTTCAGCAACAAAATCTTGCGAATCTCATTGACTTTTCAAGTTGACATCTTCATTAGCCTCTAATTTGTTTTGCCTGTTGTGTGTTCAAAATCATCATCAACTTGCCCACTTGCTAATGGTGAATCATTCAATAATCTCCTACTGAGAGTTCAGTGCTTATCTGAAAGCAGCTCAAGAGATCTCACAAACCCTTCAAAAAAAACAAATGGTTGTTTTGCACATCTACGTTAATTTAAAGAAACAAAAGAACAATGAACATGACAACTATTGAACTTAGTAAGACCTTTGGATAGAGGTAGCTGCTTTCTATTTCTAGTCTTTGTGCTAATTTGCTTCATAAGGTGTGAGAGCATTCAGTATTATATATATATATTTTTTTTTTAAGAAGTGCGAACCCTCAAAACACAAAAAATACTTTAAGATAACATTGGCTTTGTTCTCTAAAATAACTGAATTGTCCCTCCTGCTTCCCCAGTGGTTGTCACACTTCACACCCATCAGTGGGAAGTAAAAAGCTTTTTAAATCTGTACATCAACAGATGAAAAAAATCTCAGGATGACACTTGTATCAGGTAATAAAATGTAATGACTGATGCCGTTGAGGACATAAATGAGGTCCACCTTGAGCAAACAAGATGATTACAGTATTTCGTAAAAAGATTGAGCAAGTATTGTTTTGCAGGTGGAAATACAGCCCCAGGGCGACTTATCACTGTTTCGCAACTATCGAGAACTAAATGACAACATTAGTGTTCCCAAACTTTTACAGGAAATATTTGAAATTCTCTTTTAAACATCTTCGTATCGTATCATGTCGAGGACTCAAATACAGACAAGTGTGAGTGGGCTGTGTTTTTCATTGAGCTCAGCATGTGTCCGAAAATACTTTAAGTCTGTCAGGATTACAAACAGGATGCAGACTTCAGTGTTACACAAACACAGTCAACTTTGGTAATGAAACTGTGTTCACGCCTATTTTGCTTTTGTCTGCAGAGGCTGCCATGAGACCGATCACATGTGAGGTGAAGTTACACACCTCTGCAGCGCCAGACCAGCGTGGGTACATGGAGGCTGTTTAAAAAGGCTGTTTAAAAGCTAATGGAGGGTGTGAATGGAGAGTACACAGGCTCGATACCTAATTCATTAATAAGCTGTTGCTCGACAGCAGTGCAAAGGCGGCGCTAATTTTCATGGGATTTGAATTGCAGTTTGAAGTGCGAGATGCTTTTTCTGTTGATGATTTTCTACTTGATCAATTCCCCTGTTGCTGTAAGTACAAAACAATCAATACTCTTTTCAAGCTGGATAATTTATGAATGATCTTTTAAAAGATATTTGTATTTTTTGCAGAATTGTAGCAGTGAGTCTGATAGTGATGAGTTTAGAATGAATTCTCATCACTATAGCAGTGAGTCTGACAGTGATGAGGTAAGCATTGATATCATCTTATCATCTATAAACAGCTAATGAAATTATTACAAGCTTTTTTAGCAAGACCTTGTTTTCTCAATGATTTCTAAAAGTATTTTAACACATTTGCTTTGTCTTGCTACAGAGGGGAAATCACTTTCAGCTCATTCCACTTCCTCCCTGGCCTTCCTTACCTTTCTGGACTCTGTTTCCTGGTCTGTGGCCAAAGCCGCCACCCACTCCCGTCCCACCTCCACCCCCAACCAAGACCACAACAACCCCCCAGACCACTGTTGTTGTTACCACTGAGAGTCCACGAGGAGACAATGGTTAAAAGTCATCATGGAATATAAAAATATATCATCATCATATCTTTGTTTGTTTTTGCATTTTCATACGATTTTGATTATTTGTGATTTCAAAGCCATGGTTGAATCAGATTTTATTGGCTTATACAGATAAATACATTTACTTGTTGCATATTTTTACATTTCAGTATTTCCTCAGTAAACTCTCCACATTCTTATGTATCACTCTGTTAACTGGCTTCATGTTTATCACTTTTCACATTTTATAATCAGCACAATATCCTGTCGTGTAACATTTTCAACATATCATTCACGCTGCATATTCAAATATAAAGAATGCAGTGATATTTTGTGATTTGGAGGATATGTACACGAAGTAGAGACGTGTATTAAGTCAGGGTGTAATTATGAGTTTTGCAGGAGGTTGGCGTTGGAGACCTGTGGGCAGATGCTGACGACATGTTGCTGTAATATGCATTCAGTGGCTCACTCATCAGCATCCTTGGATCAAGACAGATTAAGACAGGGATGAGTGCTGAGCCCATAATACCCAACTCTCAGCTTCATCATGGAGTCTGCCACACAGTGTTTTTCATCATGACTCAGCCTCTTGACCAATAGTTTCATTCACTGCACTCGACTCTTTGCCGCATTTATCCACCAAAACTTATGAACCACAACATTTGCATTCTCACTAAAATACACCTGTTTCTTAATATACAACTCAATCACAGTTTTTTCATGGGTTATGTTTTTGTTTTTGCACAACTAGTCTTTATGA